GTCAGTAGCCATTCTGGAAGCAGATCCTCCAGCCCCAGTCAAGCCTTCAGGTGACTACAACTTCGTGCAGTCAGAGTTGAGCCAGAACAACTTAACTAAGTTGTTCCTGGATTCCTGACACTCAGAAACTGTGTGAGACAATGTTTACTTTTAGCTGTCAGTTTTGTGGCAATTTGTTAAGCAGCAAAAGATAATTAATACACACCCTTCCCTGTTCAAGAAGCACACAATCCCACTCATCAAAAAACATGGAAAAATGGTATTGAGGTTTGACACATTTATATACACCCTTCAAACATTTCCTATTTTGTCATTTTCTAGACATTTCATCTTTTTCCACTACTTCGGACTCTCTATCACTGGGCAGGATCAAGGAATGATATAGTCCACTCCCATTCGCTTCCCAAGTAATACTAAGGCACTAACCCATACATAGGAACACGGGGATGTATAGATAAGTCTAAGTCATAACTCATCACCTAGAGTAGGGGTCAGCAAACTTTTTTCATTAAGTGTCAGGTAGTAAATACTTTAAGCTCTACAGGTGCATACGGGTCTCTGGCTCTCTTTACCAATGTTTTAAAAACTTAAACACTTAGCCTAAAGGCCACAGTTTAGTAATGCTTAGACTCAAGCTAAGACAGACTCTTGTGCCTTGGTAGCAGTCTTGCCACACACCAGTCATTGTTCACATTTCAATCTTGTAACCAGGAAGGAAAGAGTCTAAGAGGAGCCACCCACTGAAATGGAATTCACTTTTTTTCCTCTATTTATATGACGAATGCTTTTCAAAGACAAAATAAGTCAATTATTTATAGAACATTTGAAAGAAAAAAGTAATCACTATAAAATTAAGTAAACTCAATTGCATTTAGTATTTTCTCATTCTTTTTCATGGATATTAACTGCAAGCACAAAGTACATAGCTTTCTATGTTGCTTTCTCGTTTTACATTATAACCAAATAAACTTTTGTACTGCCATAGCTCCTATAATCACCTTTTAATAAATGAGTAATACTGTTTATAGTGGGTATACATTTAATAATGTCTTTGATCTTCAGTTTGGTTTCCAAGTTTTATAACTAGGAATTCCTCTCAAATGAATATTTGCATGCCTTTATCTTTTAAACGATATTCATTTGAGGGACAGATGTCTACATTTAAAACATATTTCTTATTTTACCATAGAAACCAACAATATCTTTTTAATAATCCCTATAATTTGAAAAGATTATTTTATAAACAGACATGTCAATGTACATATACACACACATTCAAAGCTCCAAGGAAAACTCAGTTCTCAGTAAAATTTAAGACTAAAACATTCGGCCTGCAAAATTTTAAAGTTTTGGAATTAAAGTACTGAGAATGAAAACTTAAATAAAAATTAAAACATGCATCAAAATATCTGGGATTCAGGCAAAGCTGTAAACAGAGGTAGGCAAAGTCTTAGATCCTCTATTAAAGAAAAAAAGAAAGCTTTTAAAATAAAAGATCACAAAAAAAAGAACAATGCTAGAGAAAACAGAAGGGACATAATGTATAAAGACAGAGAACAAAAACAACACTAGTTGAGATAATAAATCGAATTAGAGGTTATATCTTGGAAAAAGTAAATCAGAAACATTGATAAAACCCGGAAAAATCTAATGAGAGGAAGAGGAAATACACTTTAATATTAGAAATGAGAAAGGGAATAGGATTACGAGTAATGAAAATAATATTCTACCCCAAGTGGAACTACTTTTGCTTCAGAAATGGAAGGTTTCTAACAGGAGAGTTGTGAATGCAGCCAAATAAAAAGCTAAGTTAGTAAAGAAAAAGTAAACGACTGTCTCAACAGATGCTGTAAATTACCCAATAAAATTAAGCAATTCCCTTTAAAGATTCTAAAAATGGAAATAGAAAGTCTTTAAGCAATATACTCATTACTTTTAATGGTAAATCATTTCTCATTAAAACCAAGAACTAGAAAACCCATTAACTCCATTCACAAACACAACTGTCAAGAAGGCAAAGAGTTTACATAGTGGTTCTGAATAAAAATTAAATAAAACTAGAAACATATGTTACTGATAGACAGCACAGCAAAAACATTTTTTTCACAAAACACTTTATTACAATAATCTCTATTTTACTTACAGTTTTTGGCAACATTAATAAAATAATAAATTTTATCTGAGAGAAGCAAAATAGACAAGGAAATTCACAAAGGGTAATCACAAAATAGTAATCTTGACATATTCAATATATTTGTAAACAAAACAAAGTGACATTGTCTTAAAAAAATAGAGAGGTATCAATAGAAAAACAGAGAAAGCTCCTGAAAGAACTCAACTCACTATATTAATTTTCTTTCGGGTGCAGGCACAGATATTGACTTAAGCTAGCTCAATTCTAAGACAGAAGCAAAGCCCTTGATGATGATCTCTTCCCAGCTTTTCCATGAAAACCTAGGAAATCTAACTAGACTGGAAAAGGAAGAGTGGGGAAAGGTAAAGTGCCTTTAAGGAGGAGAAAGTAAGGTTACAAAAAAAGAAGGGAGATTTCACGGTACCACTCTAAGAACCTTGGTGAAATTCAAGGAACCAAAGGAAGTGTCAAACAAGTGAGGTAGCAAGCCATGCAGGCCTAGGGGAAGGGCATTCTAAGAGAATAGCATGTGCAGAGTCTTTGGATCAGGAAGAAGTGTGATTTGCTTAAGGAATAACAAGGCCAGTGTGTCAAAATAGTCCACCGGGGGGAAAATGGCAGTGAAACATGGCAGAAAATGGACAAGAGAGGAGGTAGGAAGGGGCCAGATCACTGGAACCTACAGTTGGCAATTAATGACAATTTGTACTCCTTAGGAACATGCTTTAATGAAATAGCAAACAGCAGTAATAAGTGTTAATAGCAAGCAATCACAAAAACATAGAACTAAAAGCATTCCAAACACAATAAGGGAGGTAAGTATGCAAAAATCTGTAGATCTATTTATACACAGTAGGAGCATCCACCTGAGATCAGAACAAGTAGAAGGAATACACACATACACATACACACACAACACCCTTTCTACACCTATAGAAAGGGTTTTAGGCTGAAATTTTAGCAAACTGTCTTGACCCAAGCAAAGGAATTGCAAAGGCCTACTAAAATATTCAAGGTGCTGATCAATTAAGCAAGCAAGGATTGGGCAAATATAATAATCTACAAATCTACAGTCAGGAAATTATCTAAAATGTGGACTCACAACTTCTTTGTTGTCTGTAGTTCCTCCTCTCCTAGTTCTAAGAGGGATACTATGCCCTTGATGATTATCTCTTCCCAGATTTTTGTGAAAGCTTAAGCAAATTTAACTATATTGAGGAGGAAAGAAAGGAGTGGGGAGAGGTAAGTTATCTTTAAGGAGCAGAAAGCAGGGAAAAAAGATTTCTCCAGACCTTTGTCTACAGCCAAGATGCTAGATTCCTCAACTGGTGAACAGAGATTGCTGGGCACCAGGCACCTGGGTTGGGGGTGGAGGAACCAAGGATGGCACTAGAACATGTCCAGGGAGACAACCCTGGGAACCACAGAGGCAGCCGAGGCCACTGATGTTCAGGAACCAATACTTAAAAGGTGCTCGACAATTCTGTGAAAGAGCCCTTGAGGAGAGCATTTTGGTAAAAAGGTTCCCCCATAGTATAGACAGGCTAGATTGGACAAAGGAGATTAACTCTAAGATTTAATACTTACTGAAGTAAATAGGACATACTTTGCACACTGGTGTGTGTCCAGTAAGACCCAAACAGTATTAGTGTGATAAACTGGGAAATTATACATAAAACAAAATAACTGTTAGCTATAATACATTCACATCCAAATCAAGATATAAAATTGCGAGCTTCACATGTTCAATTAGGGTAAGAGACACGTGCACAGAAAAACATAAAGCCCTGTCATGGGTTTAATTTTAGTCAGTCACCCTGGGCTGTTTTTGTCCACTATACCTACTGTTTTTTGACAAATCCCATTCCAGCTTAACAATGGGAGGACTAAATTTAGCCCAGTCCACGAACTGGACAGATACCATTTGTCTGGCCCTTTTCAGTTAAAACGCTGGGTCCAGTAGAATTCAAACTATGGATGCCAGGATGCCTTTCCCTTGGAAACTTAACTTGCTTTACTGCCGTGGCTGAGAGGGATACGGCCAGTTCATTCTCCACTAACAACTAGCTAAGAGGAAGAGGGGAAGGAATGAATCGAATTCGCCTTTAGATTACACAACAGCAATTCTGCCAGCACCAGGCCTCATTCTATTAATTACCACTGCTTCTTCACCTGAAACCAGTGGATACACAGCAGCTGTTTCATTTCTGCAGTGGCCCCTCACCAAATACAGGCATTTTACTTTGAATGGTTTTGCTTCCCCAGATGTTCTTCGATTAGGATTAGGTAAAGACACTCTGAAGCAGTCTTCCTTTAGCACTGGCTCCAAGACCAGAGTAAATGTGTGCCTATCCCTCAAATGGGACCCTCCCTTGACTAACCTCGCCTTCCTGGCCTCTGCTCAGTTCACAGCTTCTCCCTCAACTGCACAGCAGGCTTTCAGAACCAGATTAGTTTATGCCAGCACAGCAGAGGCACTTCTAGGAGTTTAGCAGCAAATGGGCCAGGCCATAACAAATCCATTCTGGTCTGACCAGAGTTAACAGTGAAATCTTTAACACATGGAAAAAATTGAAAATTATTTTGAAAACTCTGAGAATTCTATATATATTAATAGAAGAAAGAGCTTTCAAGCTTAGGAGTTAACATGAAATACCAAAATAATAAATAGGTTTTTTTCTCTCTCTCACATATACACACAAACACCTTTTGTGTGTTAAACCAGGTACAGTTAACATAAAAAACAGATATTTTTAAATAACACCTCAAAATTCAGATCAAATATTGTATACCATAATTTTTTAAAAAACGTATCCATTAGTTACATTATTTTTGATGCCATTGAAAAATTAACGTATGGTTTGTATTTTTTGTTTTTATGGGCTAGTTTTATTTGGTTTGAAATATTTTAGATTTACTGCAAGTAGCATTAATGGGGGGTTTTTTTGAAATTCTACTTTTAGAGCTGGGAGGTGATGGTTCAGAGTCAGATGTGCTCACAGTAATGGATGCTATTTCCACTGTTTCTGACTGAAGAGGTTCCAGGGACACTTGAATAACAACTTTTGTTTCAGGAGGCAAACCTTCTAGTTGCTTAGGCTTCTTAAACATTTGATGACACTGGGTCTTGTGCTCCATTTTCTCCTTGAAGGTTAGAAACTGTAGCCGGCACTTAGAACACTGGTGTATGCTCTTTTCCCAGTGCCCCCTATAATGACACATGTATGGTGTTGCAGTTTTGAAAATTTTGAGACAAAACGGACAAAGCAAAGTTTTAGTGTTTTCATGGCACGTTCTAAAATGTGCTTCCACATCAGCAAAAGCCGACGATCTGTAATTGCAAATCTGGCACACGTAGGGCATTTCCCCAGGCTTATGATTGTCCTTCATGTGTTGTAGGAGGACCTGATCTGTTTCAAATGACAGTTCACAGATTTTACAGACAGCTGCGGGCTCCTGGGTAGTGTGCACACTTTCAATATGACACTGCAGCTGGAAGGGAGTGGGAAACTGCCGGTGGCAGTGCTGGCAGGTGGTGTGGTTTTCCCAGCTGTCACTCCTCTGCCTCTCGAGTTCCAAATGGTGCTTCACGTGATTCATAAACTTAACATTTTTTAGAACTTTCAAGCAGCTGAGGCATTTAAAGGTTGTGTGAGTCTTCTGCTCTGGCGTCCCATCTCCTTTATGCTGTCCGTAGTAAAAGTCACTAAGTAACATGATCAGATTTCTTTTCTTGGGATCAAGGGTCTGGTTTTGAGTTGCTAGAGCTGAAAAGTCTGTTTGTGCCAATCCTTTTTCCCTATCAAGATCTGCATTTGTAGGCTTGCAATGCACACTGTCCTTTGGAAAAGCTGTTGGAAAAGAGACTCCATTCTGAGGGCAGATGGGATCCGGCGTGGTCAGGGCGGGGTGGCCACAGACAGGGACTCCATTCTGAATGTGGCTTAATGAGGTATGAACATTGTCTGAGGGTGTACTTTGCTGAGTATTCACTGTATGAAAGATACCTGAAGGGGACACAGCTGAAGAATCTCCCTCTGTGATTCCATCCCTGAGTTTAGCCCTTTTGGGACTTATGCCGTTTACTTCAGAAGTGGAAAGTCGCTTTGATACACATGGACTTTCATTCATACCTTCTGCTGAAAGTGCTTCTCTTACTGGATGATGCAATGAGCTTGTGCATGTAATCAAGGGAGGACATAACTCTGAAGAGCTATTAGGCACGACTTGTGGTGAACTATTTTTACAATCGGATTTAGACAAAGGCTCAATAATAATAGGACTATCTGTGGATCTTGATTCAGGCTGAGAAGCTGGCAAGACAGTCACTGCTCCCGATGCAGGCATCACATGACTTGTAGGCTGCAATTTGTGAGCAGTATCTTTTCTAAGGCGACCATACTTTTTTCTCCTTGAACATGAACCTGGGGTGACTCTGTTCAAAATGTTTGAAACAACTGGTTTGGAATTTGAAGTCATCCCGACAAAGATAAGCTCAGCATCTTCATTTACATGTTCCACCCCAACAAAGATTAGCTCAGCATCTTCATCATCTACTTGCTTGGTTTCTTTTACATTCTTCTGTGGTTCTGGCTCTTGATCTTCGTCACATAACATATATGGTTGTTCCATTTTCTAATTTTTGTATTCCTGAAGGGTGTGGCCACAAGTCCCAGTGCTTCCTTTATGTAAACTGCCACCTAAGTACAAACACACATCAGTAAGTACAGAAAAATGCATTATCTTATTTAATTCTCCTCCAAAACACTAAAGTAATTATAAACATTGCTATTTTACAGACAAAGTAACTGAGATTCAAAGATGATAAGTAACAGTTTAAAACCTGTAAGATCATATCCCTATGACTCCAGAATCATAGCTTTGCCCTATACCGATTATGATTTCTTTTGTTTTAAAAAAAAAACCCTCCAGCAACTAATCACTAGGCAAAATCATACGGAAAGGACAAGTATCTTTACAAAGGCACCATTGTGCAGTGTTTAGCAACAAGGGCTGTGGAGTTGGGGAAGATTAAACAAGATTAAGCTGGAATCCTCAGTCTCCCACTGACACACACAAACTGCATCTTATTTAGCAAGTCTTTTACTTTTAAATGTATTTTAGTATCTTAAAAGCAAAAATTCTTATGTCTTAAATTTAATGTAACAGCTATTTTTTTTTTTTTTTTTTTTTAGACAGAGTCTCACTCTATTGCCCAGGCTAGAGTGCAATGGTCTCATCATAGTTCACTGCAACCTCAAACTCCTGGGCTCAAGCAATCTTTCTGCCTCGGCCTTCCAAGTAGCTGGGACTACAGGCATGTGCCACTGAGCCTGGCTAATTTTTCTATATTTTGTAGAGATGAAGTCTTGTTTTTGCTCAGGCTGGTCTGGAATTCCTGGCCTCAAGCAATCCTCCCCCTTTGGCCTCCCAGAGTGCTAGGATTACAGGTTTAAGATACCACACCCCACCCTTCTAACAGCTGTTTTTAAAAAGCACCAACTTTTCAATGGCAGCTTGTTTTGTAATAGAACTGGAAGAAAATTATATTAAATGCATACATCTCCATTGGTTCATAATACTAATTTCATAATTATTAATATAGAAAAGAGGTATCAAATGTACAGAGTAAGAGTACCTACACATAGCCAACAAACAGCACAGTGTTATGTCAAATGCTTAGAACATGCCAGGCATACAAATTAGGAATGAACTCTGATAATCTCATCCCAACTCATGGCCTTAATTATAATCCATTTGCTCGTGTCTCCTAAATTTCTCCCTCCAGTCCTGACTTCCCAATGAACTTAAATACAACAGTGCTTCCTACTTCAGTCCACCTAAGTCTCTTCTCCACGTGGCAGGCAGAGCGATTCTGTTAAACCAAGTCAAATTACAGCACCACTCAGCTCAAAACCCTCAAATGGCTTTCTGATTAATTCAGAGTAAAAGGCCAAGTCCTTCCGATGCCTAGCAGACCACACTTCCCACCCCACATACTGCCCTGCAATTATCTCATACTCCTCTCCCCCACACACTTCACTCTAGCGCGCTCATTTCTTCAACACACTAAGCTCTATCCTGCTCAGGAACCTTGTTCCCTCTAATATGAATGATCTTCATTCAGATACCTGCATGGCTAGCTCCTCACTGCCTTCAGGACTCTATTCCAAGTACTCTTCTCAGTGAGGTTCTCAAATATTCCAACCAACATATAATTCACATTCCTAATCTCTCTTTCCTTTTCACCTTCAAGCCCTATCACCATTTAACATATTATAATCTTTACTTATTTATCTTCATTCTTTTCTATATTCCATCCTATAGAATGTAAACTCCAAAGGGCAGGGACTTTATCTTTTGTTAACTTTTGTATACCCAGCACAAACAACAGTGTCTGGCATAGGACAGGTGCTCAACAATTACAGAATTTGTTAAATGAATCCTTAACAGTAACTCTCCTTAATAAGATCCTTCATTTATAGAGAAGATTATGCTCTATTAATTCCACATTTCTATGAATTTACTCTGAGACCTTTGCCCAAGTGGGAAATTTTGTAGGCCAATAAAGGACTTAAAGCTGCCAGCTTTCTACAAACACATGACCACGACCAACAGTTAAAAAAAAAGTTATCTAGAATCCCATTACACAAACACAGATACGTAAGTAATAATTGCCTTTACTACATGGGATACATTCTAATATTTTCCATTTCATTTTTCTTAAATTAACTATGACCCACAAAATCAATTAAGTCTCATCAATGGGTCACTATTCTATTAGTGATTTGAGAAACTGGTCTAAAGCTAGCAAAATGTAGGTACTTTAAACTGTGGTTCATAACTAACCAATTTCTGAAAACATATCAGGATTCACTGTAGCTCAATGTAGACCTTTCAAACCACCATAATCCAACCCATAAAAATTAAACTGGCATCTAATATGTGCCAGGCATATTGTATTAATTTTAATTAAGATATCAGTATCTAATTTTCCAACATATAGATAGTATTTACTCTTATAAACACGTGTATCACCTTGGAAGGGAATTTAAAACCACAATATTAAACATAATAAAAATTATTTATTCTTTTCCTCACTTATTCTAAAACTATATTTTGTTTGCCCAATTCTGGTCAGGTACTGTGCCAAGCACTGAGTACACAGTGGCGAATGCATAAAGCATGCAGACTGGTGTGTCATGAATAATGATTTACAACTTTAAAACTAAGATCAAGTAGATAATTAGTATATTTGTAATGTCAAAAAAAAAATACAAGGCAGATTTGAAAACATTGCTCTTTGGAGTTAACTAAAATATCTATATATATATATACAGTTTCAGTCACGTAACTTCATGATGATGCCACCTAGCTCAGTGTTTCTCAACCTAAGCACTACTGACATTTTGGACCTAGTAATTCTTTGCTGTAAGGGGCTACTGGGTGCACTGTAGAACGTTTAGCAGCCTCTCTGGCCTCTATCTACTAGATACCAGTGGCAATACCCCAGTTGTGGCGACCAAAAATGGAACCAGGTTTTAACAAATGTCCCATGGGAGAACCCCTGCCCAAATCCAACCTTCTTCTCAGGATCACTTCTACATTTTTAGTAACTACCTTCTAGGTAATTTTTTTTCTAATTTTTAAATTTAAATTATCATAGGTACATAATAGTTGTATCTTTCAGGTAATTTTTAATGTATCCCCTAACATCCTGTCTAGAGAAAAAATTCTACATCAAAATTATTAATATTCTCCAATATCACAAAAATCATAAAATAATCTGACAACTAATATAGCCATCACATTTATCTGAGGATAAATTTTTAAAGCCCAGAAAAGTTTATGACTTACCTAAAGCTATACGGAGGGTTTAGTTCACACTAAAATGCATAATTCTTGAGTTCTAGTTTTGTGTTCTTTCCACTAGAACTCTAACTTAATGCACATCTATTTCTGATGATGGTGCTGTTAATTGCTTAATCTCTAAGAATTAAAGTGTCTCATTGCATTCATTTTTTTTTTTACCCTCATCTATTTTTTAAACCTATTCAAACCTGCCTCACCTCCCATCAAATGCTGAAGTACCTTATAAGTGATTCTAAGTAACTTTTAGGGCATTGCTCATTCCAACTACCTTTTATTTCCATTCCTATTAATTCCCCCCAATTTTAGGCCCCAACTTCTAGGTACAGGTCTACTGGTTACTTTATGTTTGGGCATTTGTACTAAACTCCAAATTGCTCTCTTCTTTGTGGCCTTCAAATTTATATAACACACCACCACTAAATGGAACTTAAAACATCACTGTAATTGTATCTCTCTTCTATTCCTAAGTGTTAAGTGAGTCCTCCAATTCTGGAGAATACATTACAGATTATGCTATAGACTGAAATGTGTCCCCCCAAAATTCATACACTACCGCTATAACCTCCAAAGTGATGGTATTTGGAGATGGAGCTTTTGGGATAATTAGGTTTATGTAAGGTCATGAGGGTGGGGCCCTCATGATAGGATTAGTGCCCTTTAAGAGGAGACACCACAGACCTGCTTTCACTCTCTCTCTCTGCCATGTGAGGAAACAGCTAGAAGGCAGTCATCTACCAGCCTACCAGAAACAGGGCTTTCACTGGGGAACTAAATTGGCTAACATCTTGATCTTAAACTTCCAGGCCTCCAAAAATGTGAGAAATAAATTCCTGTTTAAAAAAAAAAAAAAAATTAAACTGGGTTCCAGTGACACTGCTGGACTTTCCACCCAGCTGGACTTTCCACCCAGCTGACCTTGACTGGATTTCTGGCTGTTGTCCATACTGATTAACTCTCCACCCAAGATGAAAAATGAGGAGTGGAGAAAGCATCAAAAATAAATCTAGTAAGTTAGCAAATGAGTTTATTGAGAACAAGAGTAGCATTAGAACATGGGAGTTTTCTTATTACTTTTTCTCTAGCTGCCAGAGTCCCTTCTCCACAAATGCCCATCAATGGATGAATGGATGAAACCTTACTTTCCAATTTACCAGAATCTTGAGATACTGGGGTGGGGAGGTTGGTGCAAAGACCTACTAGATTTAAGGGATTTGTCCTAAAACATGAATTCATAGGCCAGGCGCGGTGGCTCACGCCTGTAATCCTAGCACTCTGGGAGGCCGAGGAGGGTGGATCGCTCAAGGTCAGGAGTTCGAGACCAGCCTGACCAAGAGCGAGACCCCGTCTCTACTAAAAACAGAAAGAAATTATCTGGACAACTAAAAATATATATATAGAAAAATTAGCCGGGCGTGGTGGTGCATGCCTGTAGTCCCAGCTATTCGGGAGGCTGAGGTAGGAGGATTGCTTGAGCCCAGGAGTTTGAGGTTGCTGTGAGCTAGGCTGACGCCACGGCACTCTAGCCCGGGCAACAGAGCCAGACTCTGTCTCAAAAAAAAAAAAAAAAATGAATTCATAGTCCCACGAGGAAGTCACTAAGGGATATGGGAGAAGTCAATGGGAGGGCATCATTCCAAAGATAGCTGAGAAGTCAGTGCATGATGACCCACCTCCCATTATTTCTGTACATTCAAACAACGGCAATTCGAATGGGTCTTTGTTATAGCCACACACTAGCTTTTTTCAGGCATCAGTTCTTCTTGAGTAACTTCAGTAATCAGCCCTTAGGCCA